GTTGAACAAAGCTGGATTTATAGACTTGTTGTAACAAGAGAGAACACATACCATGGGGACTGCAGGACATCTCAGTAAGAAGGTGCTAGAAATGACTTGGGCTTGTGTTAGGTGTTTTTGAGGATGGTTCCAGGAAGTGGTGCTTTCCTGCGAATTAAATCCTCTCCAGAAGCATAGACAATTTTATGATTTGGCTATCTTAATACATCTTATTTAGAAGGTGATAAAAATGATCAAAGCAAAGCTAAAATTAGTAGAGGAGCAAAAATTATTCTTATTAGCCAGAACAGGGACATATTTGGTTATTTTTGTGTTGGACAATATTCTTGTTTTGGTCTGAGCTCAGACATGATTACAGAGGGATTTTGTTTTCGTTTCGATCCATCAGGATCACAGATTCTGATGTTGGTGTGCTGTGAAATTGGTTAAGTTTAGCAGGACAATGCCAAGGCCTAGCTGTGAGCACCCAGCCAGTTTCTAGGAACAGCATGGCCTGATAGGGCCATGCCGGTTCCAAGCCTTCAGCACGTTTTTGTTTTGTTTTGTTTTTTAATCTCAAATGAAAGTAAATTTGCTTGGTTTTTTAAAATGTAGTTGATAGTGCAGGCTATCTATCAGGCTGGATCTTTCCTACTCTAGTAAAGGAGGAGTAAAGGCCACTGAGCATAAAATGGTATGAGTCTGCAGTCCCTTACCTTAAAAAGTCTAAAATCCAAAAATCTCTGAAAACTGCAACTTTGTGCATTATTCATTTGGCAGCAAAACCTGACCAGAAATGCTATGAGGCTGTTTAGTCCTTATTCATTTCACTGAATGTGACTGAACATTTTGCTGTAGAAATAGACCGTGTTTAAGTACACGTGCTTCCCCAGATCAGTGGGGGAGTTATATAGCCTATCTGGCCTAAAGAGTGAGCCTGCATATGAATTTCAGGGATTGCCAAATATTTGCTTTCTGAGTACAGAATTGTCTTTTAAACAAGAATGTTTGTACTATAATCACTAAGGATCTGTTATTTGCAGTTTGTGTGATTAATAAGACCTGTTTTCTTAAATTAGAAATAAAAATAGTCACTGAGCTTTTACTGTAGACCAGGCAGTATACTAGGCATTTTACATACAGTATTTAATTCTCAGAACTACTCTTACAAGATAGAGCCCATCATTTTCTCATTTTTATAGATGAGAAACTGTGGCTACATAGTTGCCCAAGGTGAAGCAGCTTATAAATGAGCCACGAGATTCTCTAACAGAGAATCTTTCTCCAGAACCTGTGCTCTCCTTATTACCACGTGGAATGCGAATGGCTTTCTGTGCTGCCTCCAGCTGGCTCAGGCCCATTTTGATGGAGAGGCACATCGATATTTCACCTGCTGTCCCAGTCTAACATAGACTGATCACATAAACCCTCATCAAAGATTTATTATCAAAAGGAAACTTCAGTGATGGGGACCAGGCATGTGGCTTGGAATATTAGAGGCAGGGTTGAATTGCTGCTGAATAATTTTAATCCCAGATATACATAATTTTGGGTTTAAGATGAAGATTGTCACTGGGCTCCCATGGTTTATTTACTTGTCATTTTCTTTCATTGTTCCTTGTTCTGGAGCCAACCTGCCTCTTTTTCCCCATACAGAATTTCAGTTGTTAGTGCAAATTAATTTATAGAGGTGGGCGTCATGAAATTAGTCATAGTATTCAGTGACATTTGTAGGAAGAAGAACATGATAAACCAAAGAGAAGAAAAATAAGCTTTTTCTTGCTTTTCCTTTTTTCCTCACTGTTTCTCTCTCCCTATCACCTTTGTCCTCTTACTCTTTGTCTCTCTCTTTCTCTGGCTTCTTATCTGTTTTCTTATTTTATACTTGTTAATCTATTAGTCCTATTAATCTAAAAGTATACACTTTTTCTTCAGCTTTTGCTTTCTTAGTCTAATTTCTTATATGTGTTCTTTTTTCTTTTTCTTTTTTTTTTCTCCGAGTTTCCCCTTGGTTGCTTTTATCATTTGCTATATTCTTCACTCATTGTTCTAGTTTCTGCTGATGTGGCACTCAGTAAATCTGAAGTGTCTTATGCGTAAAAAGCTTCAGACAGATATTTTGGAACTTGCTTATTTGTTATAAATCACTCTGACAATGAAGTACATAAGTGTTTACCATCTTTCTTTAATCTTTATACTATAAACGCCTCTATTTTATTCATAATTGCCTTATTAATATGTCATGCCATTTCAAAGGAAATGGGTGATGATTTTATTTTTCTGGTGACTTATTGTAGAAAACAGTTTGCTGCAGACCATTTGTCAGCCACATTGAAAATGAAGGAGAGGGATTTAGTATTCCCCAGTTATTCATGGGCTAGAGTTTCAGCATTCAGTCAACATGAACAACAGGCACAGTGCAAACCCCAGAGGAAGGCAGCAAGGGAAAGAGATTACCTGAAGGTAACATAGCAACAGCTCTTGAACAGAAAGCAATAAGCCGAAAACTAGGATAAGACCCTGATGGCCAAGGAATAGAAAGACACAGATACATCCATAGATGAATAATAGGCCTATGTCCAAGGGCTTTTTAGAAAACTAAGGGAAGAATAGGGATAGGCTAGGGAGAAGAGAAGGGAAAAGGCAGAAAGAAGGAAGCAACAGACAGAAGAGGTGAAAGACACAGCTAGAGCACCCTGGGTGGCACATTGAGGATTGTAGTCACAATCAGAGCTTTGGGGTCTGCAAGGGAAGGAGGACACAGGAGGAGGTGGCACACTTTTGCCCATTGGAGGCAAAAGAAGCCATTTGGGTTTCAGTTGCTTTAAAGACTGAGGTATGAAGCCAGAAGACACTTGCTAAATAACAGATGGGATTTAGTATAAGATCAAGCCAATCCTCATTTCAGTGGCATCACAAGGCATTATGATATTTAAGTGGTGCTGTGTTAAAGTCAGAGCAATTCAGTGCTTAGATTATGAAGCTGAAGCTTAACTTGTGCTGTAAGGTATTCCAGGCGGCACAACAGATCTAGCTGAGTTATAAAGCTCACGTATGGCATGAATTTCAAATTCTCTGCTGGAAGCTTTAGGACATACTGTTCTCTAAGCATATTTTCTCAAGAGTTGCTTCAGTGTTTCCCATTAAGACATAGCTTCGGAAGGACAGATGTGACTGATAGGAAGGGCATCAAACCATCAACTCTGAAAGAATGTATCATGGGCTTCGAGTGAGATCATTCTGCCCAGAATAGTTTTAAAATGATGATGAAACTGCTCTGTTTGTGGAAAATCGTCCTAAAATCCACTAATAGGTGCCAGACTGTAGACTTTAAGAATACATGCAATGTGTCTGTTCTCACGTGACCTATAGCTGAACACAACGTTAGGTGATTGAAAGCTTTCATTTCCCTGGAGCTTATAAAAGTTTCATTTTTTTACTTGTTGCTAAAGTGATCCTTAGACAAAAGTACTGCTTCCCCTGAAAGTTTTCTACCTTTTATTTTTTCTACTGTCAATAAAAATTATTTAATCATAATTAATAGATTCTCATTCTAGATAGTTCAAGAGCTCACCCTGAGTAAATAGAATCAGTGGGAATCATTGACATCTTTTTAAACTACCTTTATTATTGTGTTGACTCAGCTTAAGGCTTGGGTATTACTCTGAGGATAATGGGTTTTGAGAACAGATATTAAAAAGTCTTAGATAAAATTGTGGGCTGGTATCAGGTATGCAAAAAAGTATTATGATAGGATATAATCTTTGGAGTGAAGACTGTGCAGTGGCTGTTATGGAGCAGCTTAGCTCATACAACCAAGCATCACTTCTACAAATCATGAAGAAATGTGATTTCTTCCCAGTCAATTAACCACCTCATTATTAGTCAGACAGGTAAAATAGAACAATCTGGTAAGACTGAATTTATGAAACTGCAATGACATATAGCATTTTAACCAAGGTTGCCTAAAGGAACCTGATGGAAGCATGTTGAAGATTTATGGAGGTTTTTGAAGTAATTAGAGAGATAATGGCTTTGGCCTATGATAATATATATTCATTTTATATACAATCTTTAAATACCATGTAACTCTGTATCTTTTACCTTATAAGAAAAATACAAGTAACTCAAAACTAAGAACATTTTTAAAGAGAGCAAATTTTATTGAACACTTAAAAAAATTTTTTTCTGCACTTATCATTATGTACCTACTATGTGGCAGGCATGGTATCCAGCAATTCTCAAACACTACTAATAGCAAGAGAGAACTATTAATATTAAATAGCTCTTTGAGATAAGATATAGATGTGATTATCTCTGTTCTAGACGTGAGGCTGAAACTCAGGAAGATGAAGCAGGTTGCCCAACGTCACACAGCTCGTGAGGGACAGAGCCAAGATTCCAACACAGATGTCCCTGGCCCCAAAGCCAGCTTTCCTCTGGGTTGTTTCTCCATAATTGCATGGGATGATAACTGAACCACAGTGTCCCCCTCTGAACCATGAAGGAGAAGTTTGATTATGTTCAGGAGGTTTTATTTAAGAAGGTGCAAGTGGTTTAGTAAAATTTCCATTGTTTTACAGGTTAAAATGAAGTCTTTGTTTAAAAGAAGTTAGCTTGCATCTCAGTCAAAATATGCTATCATCATAGATTGTATGGTAATGAAAGTATTAGAGTATAATTTTATAAAATATTTTGAAGGCTAGTTGTTAGATCTAATGTTATTTATAAATTTTCTTGGTAGCATTTTTAAAAATTTTTATCAGTTGTCTTTCTTTTCCTTCAAAATTGTATATTTCATCAATTATTGATTTATATTTATTTGGGGATCTTTATAAAATACCTACTGTTAAACATCAGCATTTTCCTTTGGTTATTAAAAGATGTTTCTAGAAATATATTCGTGGCATTTGAGTTCAAGTTAAGTTGTGTAGTCTTTAGTATATGTATATATAATGAGATTATCAGCTCTATGCACAACATTGCAGTCACGTTTTTCATCTCATTGTTTTGAAACTCAGGTCCCAAGTCATTTGCAAAGGCATTTTCCAGTGGCTATCTAATTGGAGAAGTTCTACACAAGTTTGAACTTCAGGATGATTTTTCAGAATTTTTGGAAAGCAGGTTAGTGAGATTGTTCCTTACTTTTTGTTGTTGTTGTTGTTTGTTTGGAGACAAGGTCTTGTTCTGTTACCCAGATGGGAGTACAGTAGCGTGATCATAACTCACTGCAACTCAAACTCCTGGAATCAAGCAATCCTCCTGCCTCGGCTTCCCACGTAGCTGGGACTACAGGTGCATGCCACCATGCCTGGCTAATTTTTGTATTTTTGTTGAAAACAGGATTTTGCCATATTGCCAGGCTGGTCTTGAACTCCTGGGCTCAAGTGATCCTCCTGCCTCAGCCTTCCAAAGTGTTAGGATTAAAGGTGTGCCACCACACCTAGCCTACTTTTTAAAGAAAAGTTAATTTCTTTGGCATTTGGAAAGTCTAAAGTTAACTTCAACGAATCATTAATCATAAAATCCCTTCCAAACCTCAAACACCCAAGCAGACCATTGATATGGAAATTGTTCCTCTTGGCACATATATTTTTTATTGTCTCAAGAGTACAAAGAAGAGAATGTTAAATTGTTGCAGCAAGACCTCATCTCTAAATGGGACTCATTTTACACTTATATAGTGCCTTGAGTGAATAATTAGTATTATTATTTGTGTTTTAAAAATGTAAAATAGAACTTACCTACTAATACCAAATTCATAATAGTTTTTTTAGTGACTATATTGAAATATAATTCATGTATCTGAATTCACCATTTTAAAAGTAGACAATTCAGTGGTGTTTAGTATATTTACATATTTAGTATCTTCACAACCATCACCACTATCTAAACACCCAGCCTCTGGCACCCACTAATCTACTTTCTGTCTTTACGAATTTGCCTATTCTGCACATTTTATATCAATGGAATCACATGATTTGTGACTGGCTTCTTCCACTTAGGATAATGTTTTCAAGGTTCACCCATGTTAGCAAGTATCAGTATTTCTTCCTTTCTATTTATTTTCTGAATAATTTTGATTATATGGCTATACCATGCCACACTTTGTTTATCTATTTATCATTTGGTGGATACAATCCTCCCTTGGTATTCTTGGGGTATTGGTTCTTGGATCCTCCACAGATATCAAAACCCAATAGGACAGTCATTAAACTTTCAAGTTCCAAAATCATCTCCTTTGACTCCATGTTTCACATCCAGGGCATGAGCTCCCAGGGCCTTGGGCAGCTCCACCCCTGTGGCTTTGCAGGGTACAGCCCCTACCTGGCTGCATTCACAGGCTGGTGTTGAGTGTGTATGGCTTTTCCAACTGCATGTTGCAAGCTGTTGGTTGATCTACAATTCTGGGTTCTGGAGGACAGCTGTCCTCTTCCTATAGCTCCACTAGGTAGTAGCCCACTGGAGACTCTGTGTCAGGGCTCTGACCCGACATTTTCCTTCTGCACTGCCCTAGCAGAGGTTCTCCATGAGGGCTCCGTGCCTGCAGCAAACTTCTTGAATGATTTGCTGCTTAGAAATTTCTTCTGCCAGATACCCTAAATCATTCTCTCAGGTTCAAAGTTCCACAGATTTGGCAGGGGCAAAATGCCGCCAGTCTCTTTGCTAAAGCATAGCAAAATCACCTTTATTCCAGTTCCCAATGAGTTCTTCTTCTCCTTCTGTCTATTAGAATATATAAGTAACACATATAACTCAATAATAAAAGGACAGCCCAATTTAACAATAGGCAAAGGATCTGAATAGACATTTCACCAAAGAAGTTAACACACTAATAAGGAGATGAATAGTTGCTCAACATCATTAGTGTATTATTCGATTTTCACGCTGCTGATAAAAACATACTCAAGGCTGGGCAATTTACAAAAGAAAGAGGTTTATTGGACTTACAATACCACATGGCTGGGGAGGCCTCACAATCATGATGGAAGGCAAGGAGGAGCAAGCCACATCTTACATGGATAGCAGCAGGCAAAGAGAGAGCTTGTGCAGAGAAGCTCTTGTTTTTAAAACCATCAGATCCTTAGAGACCCATTCACTATCATGAGAAGAGCATGTGAAAGACCCATCCCCATGATTCAGTCATTTCCATTGGGTTCCTCCCACAACATATGGGAAATATAGGAGTTACAAGATGAGATTTAGGTGGGGACACAGAGCCAAACCATATCAATTAGTGGTTGGGAAGATGCAAATCAAGATCACGAGATACCACTTCACACCCACTAGGATGGCTATAAACAGAAAGATAGACAATAACAAGTGATGATAAGGACATGGAAAAATCAAAACCCTCATACAATGTTAGTGTGAATTTAACTAATTCAGGCACTTAAAAAAAACTGTTTAGGTTTGCCTGAAAATGTAAACATCGACTGCAAAACCCAACAATTCCACTTCTAGATATATACCCAAGAGAAATGAAAACCTATCCATGTGATAACACAATGTTCATAGCAGATTATTTATAATAGCCAAAAAGTAGAAACAACCCAAATACAGCTGGCCCTCTGTGTCCATGATTTCCACATCCATTGATTCAACCAATTGCAATTTAAAAATATTTGGGGAAAAAATATCACAGAGTTCCAAAGATCAAAACTTGTATTTGTCACAAACTGAGTACTACATTGAATCCACAAGAATGAAGTAACATGCAGCTTTGTATTAGGAATTAAATAAGTAATCGAGAGATGATTGAAAATATACAGAAGGGTGTATGTAGATTATATGCAAATACTATACTATCTTATGTGAAACCACTTCAGCCTGGACTTCATTGTCCATATCACTGTCAGCATTTTGGTCAAAGCCATTCAACAACTCTAGGAAGTTCCAAACTTTTCCACATTTTCCTGTTTTCTTCTGAGCCCTCCAAACTCTTCCAATCTTTGCCTGTTACCCAGTTCCAAAGTTACTTCCACATTTTTGGGTACCTTTGTAGCAGTACCCCACTCTCTGCAGTACCAATTTACTATATTAGTCTATTTTCACACTGCTATAAATATATACCTGAGACTGAGTAATTTATAAAGGAAAGAGGTTAATTGGCTTATACTTTCACATGGCTAGGGAGGCCTCAGAAAACTTACAATCATGGCAGAAGGGGAAACAAACACATCCTTCTTCACAAGGCAGCAGGAGAGAGAAGAGTGAGTAGCAAAATGGGAAGGGCCTCTCATAAAATCATCAGATCTCATGAGATCTCACTCAACTCTCATGAGAACAGCATAGGGGAAACTGCCTCCAAGATCCAGTCACCTCCCACCAGGTATCTTCCTGGACATTTTGGAATTACAGGGATTACAGTTCAAGATGAGATTTGGGTGGGAACACAAAGCTTAACCATATCAGCTACCTTATTATTTCTGTTCTTAGTGTCACTTCTGGCCTTCTGCTTATTTTGGGTGTAGTTTTCTTTTTCTAGTTTCTTGTTATACATGGTTAACTTTTTCATTTGAGATTTTCTTTTTTAATATTTGGATTGATAGTTATAAATTTCCCTCTAAGCACTGATTTAGCTGCATCACATAGGTTTTAGTATGTCATTTTGCATCTTTATTTATCTAAAATAATATTTTAATTTCCCTTGTGATTTCTTCTTTGATTCACTGTTACTTAGGAGTATGTTATTTAATTTCCATGTACTTCTGAATTCTCCAGATTTGCTGTATTATTTATTTCTAAGTTAATTACATTGTCACTGGACAACAGTTATTTCAATCTCTTTAAACTTAATGAAAATTTTTTTGTGTGTGGGAGGTTTTCTGGTAAAAGCTATAAAACCTGCTAGACAAATTCTAAAAGAGTGTAACGTTTATTGAAGTTGTTTTTAAAGATGGTCTAATGCATGTTCTCTTTTTGAAAATGTTTTATATGTACTTAAATGTACATATTCTATTGTTGTTCAATAGAGTGTTTATAGATATCTGTATAGATATCTGTTTATAGTGTAATCTAGGTCTTCCATTTCCTTACTGATCTTCTGCCTAGTTGCTGTATCCATTATTGAAAGTTGGAACCAAAGTCTCAAACTATTCTTTTTGAATTGTCTATTTCTCCCTCTAATTCTTTCCATTTTCTCTCCATGTATTTTGTGGCTCCATTGTTAGATACATGTATGTTTATAATTGTTATGTCTTCTTGAGGGATTGACCTTTTTAACAGTATAAAATATTCTTATTATCAAGTAATACTTTTTTTTCTTAAAGTCAATTTTGCCTGATAGTATAGTCACTCCAGTCCTTTTTTGGTTATTATTTTCCTGATATATGTTTTTCTATCCTTTTACTCTCAACAAATTTGTGTCTTTGAATCTAAACTGTATTTTCTTGTAGAAAGCATGTAATTGGATTATACATCCATTCTTCTAGTTCCCTCTTTGTAATTGTAGTTATTTAATCCATTTATTAATTAGGGAGCAGGATTTAAATGTGTGATTTTGATATTTGTTTTCTATATGCTTTATGGTTTTTTTTACTCCTCTGGTACTGCCTTCTTTTGTGTTAGATATTTTCTAATACGATTTTAATTCCTTTATTGTTTCTTTTACTATATTTTTGAGTCATTTTCTTAGTAGTTTTCATGAAGATTAAAATTAACACTTTAAATCAAACTATTCAGATGAATACTACTTTAATTTCAGTAGTATAGAAAAAAATTTGCTCCAGTGTATCTCAATTGTCTCCTCCTTTTTTGTGCTATTTTTGTCCTATAAATTACATCTTAAGTACATCTAGTTAGTTGTATAATTATTGCTGTATGCCTTTAACTTTTAAATCAGATAAGAATAAAATAGTTATAAACAAAAATATGTTTAAACTATTTTTTATGCTACTCTTTGTAGTAACTTCTACTGATGTGCTTTAAAATTTATTCATGTGATTTGAGTTACTGAATATTGTCCTTTCATTTAGGCCTTAAGGATTCTCTTTAGTATTTCTTATAGGGCAGATATGTTGACAGTGAGTGATCTTAGTTTTTGCTTATCCTTCAGTGTTGATACATATTTTTACCAGACATAGAAGACTTGATTTACAGTTTTTCTTTTTCAGCACTGTGAC